AGCAGACAGGGACAAGATAAACTCGGGCCATCTTTGGTTTCTCTTAAAGTCAGGCTTGGGGTAGATTTTGTGGCTAAAGAAGAGGACGGGCAGGGCCCAGCCTTTTCTTCCCTGGTACCTTGTCCTGTGTCACATACAAGTATCTACCCACTGCCTGCCTACACTTCCTGGACTTCCCTTCTTCAGCCCATAGGCCCATAGGTGGTAGCACTGAGCCAGAGTCCTGCTTCAAAAGCAGCAGGTCTCAGCAAGCCAGGTAGGGGTCCCGCTGTCCAATGGTCCTCTACCAGCTGAGCAGAGTCTCAGGCCACTGTGACAGGGCCCAGAGACCTTCTTTTGTTCACAAAGGTTCTAGTTGGGTCACCTGCCTAGAACTCCAGAGGACTACTGGGTGGCTGGACTCACTTCCTGTAAGGCAGCCTAGGGGTTTTCTGTCTTCATTCCTACTTTGCAGGTGTGCACTGTTGCTGACAGCTCTCTCAGCCACCCTTCTGTATTTACTCAAAGATGCCCGGTTGCCCTGAAAATGTCCCCTGGGTCTAGTGTGAGCCCCAGACCACATTTAGTGTCATATTTCAAATGTATTTATTAGAATATTATTTACATGTCAATCACACCCAGTTTGTCTGTACACTTAATGGTGTCGGCATGCCCCATGGTTGCACAGTATCATGATCTACTTGCATTTTTTTTTTTTTTTTTGGTTTTTCGAGACAGGGTTTCTCTGTGTAGCTTTGGAGGTTGTCCTGGAACGCACTCTGTAGACCAGGCTGGCCCCAAACTCACAGAGATCCGCCTGTCTCTGCCTCCTGAGTGCTGGGACTAAAGGTGTGTGCCACTAACACCCGGCTCTACTTGTATTTTACTTTTGCCTTTTGAGGCAGGATCTTTCTGTGTAGCTCAGGCTGGCCTGGTACTTGCTATGTAAACCAAGCTAGCCTCAAACTCACAGAAATCTGCTTACCTCTGTCTCCTGAGTGATGGAATTAAACTTGTGTACCAAATATCCCACTTGATTTTGCTGTAATAACAAGTTATGTATCTGTATGAGTGTATGTGTAGGGAGAGTGTGTTCATGTTCAAACATGCCACCACACACATGTGAAGGTCAGGACAGCTTGGAGGAGTGGATTCTCTCTTTCCACAGTGTGGGGTCTGGGAATCAAACTCAGGTTATCATGCTTGACAGCAGGCTCCTTTATCTGATGAATCATCTTTTCTGCCCACTCCCTCCTACCTGTTTTTGTTTGTTTGTTTTTGTTTTTGTTTTTGAGACAGGTTGTTACTACACCCCAGTTGGCCTGTAACTCACTGTATAGACCAAATCAGCCTCAAAATCACACAGGGGAGGTGCATGCCTCCCCTTTGCTAGGATTAAAGGCATGCACCACCACATCTGGCCCACTGATCAAGAACTTCTGATTCTCCTGCATCCACTTCCCAAGTGTTGCGATTACAGTCACATGTAGGGGACCACCTTTTGGGGATTGAACTCAAAGCTTGATTTAACCTAGAGCATTCTGTACACTGGGGCAAGTACTCTACCAACTGAGCTATAGACGGTCCTGGTGATCTAGTTTAGACCCTTTTTATCACCCTAAGAAGAAACTCAGCACCTATTAGCATTCTCATCCCCTTCTCCCCACCACTCCCAGACCTAAGCAAACGGTAAATGGGTTTTGTCTTTGTCTTATTAATTTGCTGATTATACAACATATGTCTCAGTGCCTATTTTCAAGGCCTGTTTTCTGTAGCTTGTGTTTCTATTTACATATGGAATGCTTTACCACTGTATGGTTTTTATATTCCATCCAGGAGCTGATACTTGGGGTGCTTCCATATTTACTTAAATGATACTACTATCTGCCACTCATTTATGTTTGTCCCTGTTATGCTGTCTGCCTCTCCGTGCCCAAAGAAATGGAGACACTACCCCTTGCCTACCAGTGTTGGTGGGGCACAGAAGCGGTGACAGCCACCATGGGTACTACACAGAGGCATCAACACACTCCCTGCTTACAGAGAACTTTCTCACTAAGACTGGAACATTGGCAGAATCATGGGAAAAAACACTAGGCTTGGTGTGTGAGGGGGTGGGGGTGGGGGCTTGAACGGGTCCTGGAAGCAGCCCCTGGCCTGGCTGATCTCAGCTTCTTCCTGCTGCTCTGACTTCTGTGTCAGCAGCAGGTGGCAGGTCTTAATGGCCACCAAGCTGCTGCCTCCTGACAGGGAGAGCCCTTCCCAGGGTGCTCCAAGCAGAAGATGGGAGGGATGTTAGGGCCCAAAGCTAATCAGTATTATTGACATGTGGAAAGGGAGGGCAAAGGGAGGCAACTTGGGACCCAGCAAGACTGATTTATTGGTTAATTAGTCCTTCCTCAGTTGTGTGTGCAGATGGGGAGGGAGGAGGGGGACCAAAAGCCCTTAAGAGACCAGCTGGAGCCCAGGCAAGATTCATTCTCTCTCTCTCTCCTCTCTCTCTCTCTGCTTCTCGCTCTCTCTCACTCTCTCTCTCCCTCTCCCTCCCCCCTTCTCTCTCTGTCTCTTGGTTTTTCAAGACAAGGTTTCTCTGTGTAGCTTTGTAGACCAGGTTGGCCTCAAACTCACAGAGATCCACCTGCCTCTGTCTCCTGGGTACTGGGATTAAACCCAGGTGACACCACCACCCAGCATCATTGTCTCTTTTGAGCCAGGAACACCAAAGAGTTCAGGGGAAGATGCAAGGTGTCTGGGCTAGGGAACGGACCTCAAGAATGCATGACTACAAGAAGCCCACTGTAGCCAAGCAGAATTCTGAAGGAAGGTGCCTGGGAGTTCTGAAGCTTCTGGAACATTGTGGAGCAGAAGAGCTGCAAGGCAGAAGTAAAGCAAGAGCATATAGCTCTTGGGAATATAGCTCAGTGATAGAGCACTTGCCTACCATTCACAAACGCGTCACAAACAAACATACAAAAGATAAAAAAAAAATCAACTAATGGCAACCTTAAGGAAGAAAAGAAAGGGCATTGAGCAAAAACTGTTAGACAGTTGTGGATTTGGATCTAGCCTCTACCAAACACTATCTGATCCTTGATTTCTACGTCTGTAAAATGAGGTTAATTATATCTACCCTACCTTACAAAGCTGTCTGGATAATTAAATATAGCATTCTGTAAGGTACATAGTAAGAGTTGAGGAAATACTTGGTATTCCCTGCTTGAACAAGTCAGGAGTCTGGGGCACCCACCATCCCAGCACTTGGGTCATAGAAGCGGAAAGATAAAAGAGTTCAAGGTCATCCTTGGCTACAGTAGGCAGCTCCAGGTCAGCCTAGACTATATGCATCAGTCTCTACCTCTGTGTCTGTCTCTCTCAAAACAAAGTAACAGAACAACACAAAACAAACAAAAAACTTAGGTCAGGGTTTGGGAGCAAAAAGAGCCAGTCAGAGGTAAAAGAAGCAAACAGAGTCTGGAAGGTGAATGGACTGTTCTGCCCAGTCTGGGTTTGGATAGGGGCTGAGGCTCCCCGCTTTGGGACACTGTGTCTGGTTGGGTGGACCAGTTTTAGCCACCGTGTCCCTTGCATTGGAGCTGCAATTCTGCCTCTGCTCTGCGGTGGAGCCTGGCCAAGCTGCCACGCTCTAGAGCTCTTCAATGGCAGTGTGTCACCCGGGGAAGAGGACAGACTGACAGCCGGCAGCATCCAAGCAGGCAGGGTTTATTGCGGTCCGCGGGCAGACAGGGCTAGTCCAGTCTCGCCACCATGCTGGGCATCCCCTCTGGGTTCCATACTCC